CGGTACATTTTTTTTTTGTGAAGCGACTTTAAAATAAACAGTCAGGCCTGAGTTATACTGCCTGAGGACAAACAGAAAACCAACATCAAGTCAAGACGACATTTGGTTCTGCTCACCTTAGAGCTCTTCTTCTCAATGAAAAAACTATTTAAAGGACCAATGACGTTTTGCTTACGTTCAACTCTACCCACACAGTCACACATACTACACTGACACTGCAACACACACACACGCACATTGACACCAAACACATACTCACATATTCACACTCTTCACATATGCTGCTGCTACTCTTTTTATTATCTATCCTGATTGCCTAGTCACTTTTAACCATACCTACATGTACATATTAACTCAATTACCTAAATTACCTCGTACACCTCTCTGCACAGCACATTGACTCGGTACCGGTACTCCTTGTATATAGCCTCATTATTGTTATTTTATTGTGTTACTATTTCTTTTTTTTATTTTGCAAATTTGTCTAACTTTTTAACTCTGCATTATTTGGAAAGGGGTCGTAAGTAAGCATTTCAAGGTATAGTCTACACCTGTTGTCTTCGGTGCATGTGACAAATAAAAGTAGGTTTTTACATGCTATGTGCACACCTTTTTTTAAAATGCAAAGTCAAAGACGCATGTCTGTCCTCTTATAAAGACACATTATCAAGCAAAATAACTCAACAATACAATTTAAAAAATGTTTATTTAATGAGAACAGTTCAGTCACAGGCATTCAGGTGTGAGAGAGAGAGACAGAGAGACAGAGAGAGAGAGAGAGAGAGAGAGAGAGAGAGATGGGGGAAAGAACATCACAATAAGATCAAATTTAATATGTGCCTGACAATAACCTTTTAAAATGGGCCAGTTTTTTATCTTAATCTTTTAGAAGATGTGAAACTCGAAACTCTCGACTCAGAACCCCAAAGCGGTTTTTGCCGCCACTCCAGTGTGAAATAAGACTGTATTACCTTCAGTGAGAAAATCCTCATACATGCAAACAACAGTTTGTTCCCCTCAACAGTAGGCTGTCTGTGAAAAGACAGCCATGGAGATGGAGCAATGGAATGTGTCCTAAATGCCACCTTATTCCCTTTATAGTGCACTGTTTTCGACCAGGGCCAATCTGTGGTCAAAAGTAGTGCACTATTATAGGGAATAGGGTGCCATGTAGGACGCATATATGAAGATTAATTCTCGGCAGTGAAAGGCAGGATGGGAGCGGAGAGGCAGGCTGAGGCGGGATGTGTTTGTGTGAAGGTGTCGCTTCAGCACATCCTGTATGTTTCAGTAATGACCTCCAGAGTTTCTGACGATCCCAGCGTGTTAATCAATTTCTTCTCGTCTCAGATACTCCCCCTTGTGTTTTTTTCTCTATGCAGAGGAGCAGAATTCCTCAAAGTCATCTTTGCATCGCTTTTTCAATTAGTCAATCGTTTCTCCATGACACCTGGCACTGGTCCTTCAGGGTGGAAGGACCCTGTCTGTTTCTCAGTGTGTGTGTGTGTGTGTGTGTGTGTGTGTGTGTGTGTGTGTGTATATATATATATACAGTGAGGGAAAAAAGTATTTGATCCCCTGCTGATTTTGTACGTTTGCCCACTGACAAAGACATGATCAGTCTATAATTTTAATGGTAGGTTTATTTGAACAGTGAGAGACAGAATAACAACAAAAAAATCCAGAAAAACGCATGTAAAAAATGTTATGAATTGATTTGCATTTTAATGAGGGAAATAAGTATTTGACCCCTCTGCAAACATGACTTAGTACTTGGAGGCAAAACCCTTGTTGGCAATCACAGAGGTCAGATGCTTCTTGTAGTTGGCCACCAGGTTTGCACACATCTCAGGAGGGATTTTGTCCCACTCCTCTTTGCAGACCTTCTCCAAGCCATTAAGGTTTCGAGATTGACGTTTGGCAACTCAAACCTTCAGCTCCCTCCACAGATTTTCTATGGGATTAAGGTCTGGAGACTGGCTAGGCCACTCCAGGACCTTAATGTGCTTCTTCTTGAGCCACTCATTTGTTGCCTTGGCCGTGTGTTTTGGGTCATTGTCATGCTGGAATACCCATCCACGACCCATTTTCAATGCCCTGGCTGAGGGAAGGAGGTTCTCACCCAAGATTTTACGGTACATGGCCCCGTCGATTGTCCCTTTGATGCGGTGAAGTTGTCCTGTCCCCTTAGAAGAAAAACACCCCCAAAGCATAATGTTTCCACCTCCATGTTTGAGGGTGGGGATGGTGTTCTTGGGGTCATAGGCAGCATTCCTCGTCCTCCAAACACGGCGAGTTGAGTTGATGCCAAAGAGCTTGATTTTGGTCTCATCTGACCACAACACTTTCACCCAGTTCTCCTCTGAATCATTCAGATGTTCATTGGCAAACTTCAGACGGCCCTGTATATGTGCTTTCTTGAGCAGGGGGATCTTGCGGGCACTGCAGGATTTCAGTCCTTCACGACATAGTGTGTTACCAATTGTTTTCTTGGTGACTATGGTCCCAGCTGCC